GACTGCCACTTTTCTCCAGCTTATCCCCAAGCCGGAAAAAAGCGGCAGCCATGTTAAAGCAAATGCTGCGGGGGATATTTCAATCCCCCGCAGATTTTGCTACTCCGAAGTCTACATTTAAAGCCCTTTTCCGGAGGATCTCTTATTCCTACTTGACTGCCACTTTTCTCCAGCTTATCCCCAAGCCGGAAAAAAGCGGCAGCCATGTTAATGCAAATGCTGCGGGGGATATTTAAATCCCCCACGGATTTGCAATTGCGACTCGTCTCATTAGCATCTCTTTTCCGGAAAGGGATGCCAATGTAGACGTAGCCCAGGAGTCATGGAGTCCAGCCCCCTGCCCAAAGCAGGACCAACCCAACTCGATCATCCCAGCCAGGGAATTGTCCAGCCGGAACATAAAAACCTCTAGGGATGGAGATTCCACCCCCTCCCTAGGGACCCAGCCCAGTGCTTCCCCGCCCGCCTAGGGAAATAGTTTTTCCTAATATCCAACCTAGACCTCCCCCAGTGTAACTTGAGATCATTGCTCCTTGCTCTCCCATCTGCCCCCACTGAGAACAGCCTCTCTCCAGCCTCTTTGGAACCTCCTTTCAGGAAGTTTCAGGCTGCTCTCAAATCCCCCCTCACTCTTCTCTTCTGCAGACACAACAAGCCCCAATCCCTCAGCCTCTCTTGGTAGGTTCTGTGCTCCAGCCCCCTCATCATTTCAGTTGTCCTCTGCTAGACCCTCTCCAATGCATCTACATCCTTCCTGTAGTGGGGGCCCCAGAACTGGACACAATAGTCCAGATGTGGCCTCACCAGTGCCGAATAAAGTGCTATAATCACTTCCTTAGATCTGCTGGCCGTGCTCCTCCTAATGAAACCAAATATGCAACTTGCCTTCTTGGCTACAAGGGCCCCTTGTTGACTCATACCCAGCTTCTCATCCACTGGAATCCCCATGTTGTCTTCTGCAGAACTGCTACTTAGCCAGTCGGTCTCCAGCCTGTATCAATGTTTGGGACTCTTCCATCCCAAGTGCGGGACTCTGCTGTTGTCCTTGTTGAACTGCATCAGATTTCTTTTGGCCCAATCCTCTAATCTGGCCAGGTCGCTCTGTTGCCTCTCCCCCTAGCTCAGTGTCATCTGCAAACTTGCTGAGGGTGCAACCCATCCCCTCATCCAGGTCCTCAATGAAGATGTTGACTAAAACTGGCCCTAAAACCAATCGTTGGGGCACTCTGCTAGCAACCGACCGCCAACCAGACTTCAAGCTGTTGATCACGACCCATTGGGCCCGACAATCTAACCAGCTTTCTATCCACCTTACAGTCCAGTTATCCAATCCAGACTGTCTTAGCTCGCTGGCAAGAATCCCGTGGGAGACCGTATCAAAAGCTTTGCTGTAGTCAAGGTATATCACATCCACTGACTTCCCCATGTCCACAGAGCCAGTTACCTCCTCATAGAAGCTAATAGGGTTGGTCAGATATGACTTGTCCTTGGCGAATCCATGTTGACTGTTCCTGATCACACTTTCCTCTTCCAATGTATTCAATCCCATTCTTTATTGCCCTCTCTTCTGTCCTACACCCTCTGCTTTGTCTTTTCTCTAAATTAGCCAGTCCCAGACTACTCAGCATCCATACCCAGCAGCCTGCCCCATTCTCAGAGCCTGAGTCAGAAACCCCCTTCCTATCCACTCTCTTCCTTTAGTGACCAAGCCCCAGGTGGGTGCCCAGAGCAGGTTACTCTCCATCGTGTTAATTGACTATCTGACTATTGTCTCCGTTTGGCCAATGAGTGGGTGTTTTATTGAGATGTGTGAGTGATGGCCAGTTCTTCCATCTAGGTGGCTCAGTTGGGATAATTCCAACACAGTCTGGGCAGAGATGTGTTTGTTTTTTTCAACTCTGATTTTGAGCAACCTGGTGAATGGGTGTGGAGGAGTCCGTACGGCTCTGCCCTTACTGTAATGTGGCTCTGTAGGCCCTGGCCCTGCTAAAGCCTGGTGCAAACATGTACCCAGGCAGGGTCTCGAGGAGGCCAATGTGAGGAAATGTAACCTCTTGCACTAAAGCAGCAGATTAAGACCAGACCCCAGTGCATTCATTACGAGCAAAGCTGAAACATTCAAGAACCTCGCTGAAACTTGCAAGAAGAGGGAGCAAAATAATGGACACACCTTGCATTTACCAGAAATGCCTGCCGCAAATGGGTAAACAACTTCCAATAACTGTGCATGTTAGGGTCTGAAAAGACGAGAGAGGAAGCAGAGCATCACTGGCTTTTTTCAAAAGCGACGAGGAGTCCTGTGGCACCTTAGAGACTAACTGAAGTGTAGGAGCATAAGCTTTTGTGGGCAAAGACCCACTTTGTCAGATGACATTCATCTGACGAAGTGGGTCTTTGTCGATGAAAGCTTATGTTCCTACACTTCAGTTAGTCTCTAAGGTGCCACAGGACTCCTCGTCGCTTTTGAAAAAAGTCAGCATCATTAAGCTTTAAGGAATAGGGATCTAATCTAAACAAGTAATGAAGGTGGCAATTATGGCAGTAGGTGACCAAGTCTAGCTTTGCTATAAAAATAGGCATCACAAAAGCTTCGATGGGCGAGAGTGAGGAGGGTAAGTGCACGTATCCCGCTTGTTGGAACTAGAAGTAGAAACTGTTCATCCCGACCTCCTGTCTGGCATTTTAAACCGCGTTACGGGTGACCTGGAAGTGAACTAAGTCTAGAGATTGTCATGATTGGCTCTCAATAAGAAATATGCTTTATATTAAACTTTATATTAAACTTTGCATTAATTGCTTTTATTTTGTTTTGTGTTGTACTAATTGTTTTTAGAATCATAGGAATTAAGTGAAAAACTGTATTAACTACGTTTAAGGATTGATAATCGTAAAAACTGCTTTAAAGCTTGCAATAAATACGGAAAAGGTTAAGTATCAGAGGGGGAGCCGTGTTAGTCTGAATCTGCAAAAGCGGTGAGGAGTCCTGTGGCACCTTATAGACTAACTGGAGTGTAGGAGCATAAGCTTTCGTGGGCAAAGACCAACTTTGTCAGATGCATGTCTTTGCCCACGAAAGCTTATGTTCCTACACTTCAGTTAGTCTCTAAGGTGCCACAGGACTCCTCGCCGCTTTTGAAAAAAAGTCAGCATCATTAAGCTTTGAGGAATAGAGAACTAACCTAAACAAGTAAAGAAGGTAGCAATTATGTCAGTAGGTGACCAAGCTTTGCTATAAAAGTAGGCGTCACAAAAGCTTTCGTGGGCAAAGACATGCATCTGATGAAGTGGGTCTTTGCCCACGAAAGCTTATGCTCCTACACTTCAGTTAGTCTATAAGGTGCCACAGGACTCCTCGCTGCTTTTGGAAAAGGTTAAGTCTCTCTGGTGTATCCTGAAACCTCTCGCATCTACATAAATTGAACCACGTGACAATGGGGAAGTCCAGAGAGCAGGACACTGTGGTCTGGTTGTCATTTTATTAAGGAACAATGAGAATCATAGAATACTAGGACTGGAAGAGACCTCGAGAGGACATCGAGTCCAGTCCCCTGCCCCCATGGCAGGACCAAATACTGTCTAGACCATCCCTGATAGACATTTATCTAACCTACTCTTAAATATCTCCAGAGATGGAGATACCACAACCTCTCTGGGCAATTTATTCCAGTGTTTGACCACCCTGACAGTTATGAACTTTTTCCTAATGTCCAACCTAAACCTCTCTTGCTGCAGTTTAAGCCCATTGCTTCTTGTTCTATCCTCAGAGACCAAGATGAACAAGTTTTCTCCCTCCTCCTTATGACACCCTTTTAGATATCTGAAAACGGCTATCATGTCCCCCCTCAATCTTCTCTTTTCTATACTAAACAAACACAATTCCTTCAGCATTCCCTCATAGGTCATGTTCTCTAGACCTTTCATCATTCTCGTTGCTCTTTGGACCTTCTCCAATTTCTCCACATCTTTCTTGAAATGCGGTGCCCAGAACTGGACACAAGACTCCAACTGAGACCTAACCAGCGCAGAGTAGAGCGGAAGAATGACTTCTTGTGTCTTGCTCACAACACACCTGTTAATACATCCCAGAATCATTTTTACTTTGTTTGCAACAGCATCACACTGCTGACTCATATTCAGCTTGTGGTCCACTATAACCCCTAGATCCCTTTCTGCCATGCTCCTTCCTAGACAGTCGCTTCCCATTCTGCATGTGTGAAACTGATTGTTCCTTCCTAGGTGGAGCACTTTGCATTTGTCCTTATTAAACTTCATCCTGTTTATCTCAGACCATTTCTCCAATTTCTCCAGGTCATTTTGAATTATGACCGTATCCTCCAGAGCAGTCGCAATCCCTCCCAGCTTGGTATCATCTGCAAATTTATTAAGCGTACTTTTTATGCCAATATATAAACTGTTGATGAAGATATTTAACAGAGCTGGTCCCAAAGTCCAGGTATACCACATCCACCACTTCTCCCTTATCCACAAGACTCGTTATCCTATCAAAGAAAGCTATCAGATTGCTTTGACATGATTTATTCTTTACTAATCCATGCTGGCTGTTTCCCATCACCTTGCCTCCTTCCAAGAGTTTACAGATGATTTCCTTCATTCCTTGCTTCATTATCTTCCCTGAGGGATCATTAATACCCACATTCATGTTCCCATCTGGGCTTTCCCACCCCACAGTGTGCCAGAGTTATTGACACAGGCCATAAAATAGGAAACCGGCATTAGCGGGTCCAGTTGTTGATCATTCTTTTCTGTGAATAATGAAATTGTAATTTTTCAGTGTGTGAAGAACCACAAATGTGCTTCCCCCATGAAAACAGCCTCCAATGGTTTATTTCGTGTCTCCTATTAACATTGTCTTTCCATCCAGGTGTTTGTAGTGGAACCATCACCCAACACCCTGGGCACATACACGAAGTCAGGGGAACGCACGGCGCATGCAGGAGACATTGTTCTGCCTCTGGTTTGGACATCTCCTTCCTTACGCCATGTCAGAGTCCAACACAACCCACTTCACCAACCCCTCCACCTTCATCCTGCAGGGCTTTCCTGGCCTAGAGGTGGCCCATGTCTGGATCTCCATTCCCTTGTGCGCCATGTATACCACAGCCATGTTGGGGAACTTCACCATCCTGTGCATAGTGAAGATGGAATTGAGCCTCCATGAGCCCATGTACTATTTCCTCTGCATGCTGGCCGCCACCGACCTGGTCCTGTCGACATCCACCACGCCCAAAATGCTGAGCATCTTCTGGTTCAATTCCAGGGAGATCGATTTCAATGCCTGCCTCACCCAGATGTTCTTCATTCGCTGCTTTTCAAGGATTGAGTCTGGGATTTTGGTGGCCATGGCGTTGGATCGCTACGTGGCCATCTGCCATCCCCTGAGACATTCCACCATCCTGACAAACTCTGTGGTGGCCAAACTTGCTCTGGCTGTGGTGTTGCGCGGTGCTATCCTCTCACTGCCCTACCCCTTGCTGGCGAGGCAGTGGCCGTATTGCAGGACCAACCTCATCCCCCAGCCATTCTGCACGCACATGGCCGTGGTGAGCCTCGCTTGCGCCGACACCAGCGTCAGTAGCTCCTACGGCCTTTTTGTGCTACTCTGTGTGACTGGTCTGGATGTGATTTTTATTGCTCTGTCCTATATGCAGATCCTCAGGGCCATCTTCAGACTCCCCACGAAGGACGCCCGGCTCAAGACTTTTGGGACTTGCGTCTCCCACCTCTGCGCCATCTTAGTCTTTTACATCCCAGGTCTCTTCTCCTCCCTCACGTACCGCTTTGGACAGAACGTGCCTCTGCATTTCCACATTCTCATTGGCAACCTGCAACTCCTGGTGCCCCCCATGCTCAACCCCATCATCTACGGGGTGATGACCAAACAGATCCGGGAGAGGCTGATCAGGCTCTTTAGTCATAAAGAGACCTAACATTTCCCTGGACACTCTGGCTCTGAGATACAGTTCCGTCATGAGCTGGTTGATGACATGAGTCTACACCAATAATCACGTTCAATTAACTTTATGGGCTTTGAAAGTCAACTGCAGTATTCCACCTTGATTAGCGCACGTTCATGAGAACATAAGATCGGCCATACTAGGCCAGAACAAAGGTCCATCAAGTCCAATATCCTGTCTGCCTACAGTGGCCAATTCCAGATGCTCAGTGGGAGGGGACTAACCGGTAATCATCACGTGATCCCTCCCCTGTCACCCATTTCCAGAGAAACAGAGGCTAGGGTCACCATTCCTACGCATCTTGGCTAAGAGCCATTGATGGACCTAACCTCCATGAATTTATCTAACTCTTTTTTGAACCCTTTTAAAGTCCAGGTCTTCACAACATCTTCTGGCAAGGAGTTCCACAAGTTGACTGTGCGGAGTGAAGAAAAACTTCCTTTTCTTTGTTCGAAACCTGCTGCCTATTCATTTCATGTGGTGAACCCTAGTTTTTATACTGTGAGAATAAGTAAATAACTTTTCCTTATTCACCCTTTTCACACCAGTCATGATTTTATAGACCTCTATCATATCCCCCTTAGTCTCCTCTTTTCTAAGATGAAAAATCCAAGTCTATTTAATCTCCCTTCACATGGGACCCATTCCAAACCTCTCATCATTTTTGTTGCCCTTTTCTGAACCTTTTCCAATGCCAATGTGTCTTTTTTGAGATGAGGCGACCACATCTGTAGACGGGATTCAGATGTAGACATCTGTGGGCGTCCCATGGTTTTATATAGAGGCAATAAGATATTTTCTGTTTTATTCTCTGTCCCTTTTTTAATGACTCCTACCATTCTATTTGCTTTTTTGACTGCTGCGGCACACTGAGTGGATGTTTTCGGAGAACTATACACAGTGACTCCAAGATTTCTCTCTTGAGTAGTTGTAGCCAAATTAGTCCTCATCATTTTGTACGTATAGTTGGGATTATTTTTCCAATGGGCATTACTTGACATTTATCAGCATGAAATTTCATTTGCTATTTTGTTGCCCAATCACCTAGTGTGGTGAGATCTTTTGAAAACATGATCCCATCGACAGGCTGTACCTTCCTGGTGGGCGCTGAGTTTAAAATGAGAAATGTGGCCTTGTGCATCACGTGTCGTTTGTGCGGCACAGAGCTTCATTCATGGTGCGAGGTGACCTTCTGTGTGTCTAAACGCAGCTGCTGCAAAAGCACCCCCAGGACCTCGCTCTGCTGTGAAGGACGGGAGCGTAACTGTCCCTGTAACTATATTGGCAGAGCTGTGGGCAGAGGAAGGGGGAGATTTCTGTGTGCTGGGTGGTCACGGCTTGAATTGACACTTCACTAATACTTATCAAACAGCCTAGACCACGTCCGATGAATGTCTGTGTGGTCCCCCCACCTGCTCCGACTCTGCCTTTGGAGCAGGCAGCAGAGGTGACTCCCAATAGGATGTGCCTGGAATCCGATTGTTTTCCACACACAGAAAGGGAGGGGCTGAGAGCAGGGACAGTTTGCCGTGTAGTGACCACAGGGGTCACCTCCTGCCCTGAGCCCCCACCCCCTGCCCTGAGCCCCAATGCCCCCCCACCCTGCCCTGAGCCCCCCCCCCCTGCCCTGAGCCCCAATGCCTACCTTGACTCCTGCACCCCCACCCTGCCCTGAGCCCCCATCCCCTACTCCCAACCCCCTGCTCTGACTCCTACACCTTCTACACCCTCCGGTTCTCAGCTCCTCCACCCCCCACCCTGAACTCCCCCACACTTGATCCCACACCTACATTTCCTACAGGTGCTATACCAGGGGTGGGGGAACCTTTTTTGGGTCGGGGGTCACTGACCCACAGAGAAATCAGTCGGGGGCTGCACACAAGTGAGAAGCAAAAAGGAAAATCAAACCCTCCCCGGCTGAGAAGCAGAAAGACCCTCCCTACATTTCCCTCACACAGCAGAGCCCAGGGGCCCAGGCTAGTCGATTTTGTTTGTTCCAGCCCCACAGTGCAACAGCAGGGGTAGATCCAGGTAAGCTGGGGGCCACATCCGGCCCTTGGGCCTTAGGTTCCCCACCCCTGGACTGAACCCACTGGGAGTGGGAGGGGGAGGGTTGCAATAGGACAGTACCTGTAAGAAATGTAAGGTACTTTCATCCCTGCTTCCCATCCACTACAAATCTACTGCAGAAATAAAAGCAGAGGGAGGATAAGGCACCTGGATTGTTTACCGGTATTAGTAGCAGAACAGGACCACAAAGTAATGCAGCACTGTGCCTTTAAAAAAAAAACAACGGGCTGCATCCAGCAGAAAAGGTCTCCCCATCCCAATCCCTCACTCCAGCCCCCCCACTAACCCCCTGCCCTGAGCCCCTTATCGCCCCGAACCCTGACTCCTGCACCCCCAAAGCACCAGCATCCTGCCCTGACCCAATCCCACACTCCAGCCCCCCACGGCAACTCTCTGCCATGATTACTGCATCCTGGAAAAGGGGTGAGGGTCTCTGCTAATACATAGACGGGGCAGGCCAGAGCAGTACAGGAGACTGGTCCGATTGGGGCTCGGCCTCCCTCCATCTAAAGGACCCCCTCCCCCACCTACAGGGAGCATCTACAGACTCCAGGGCACCCTTTAAGGGCTCCGGGGCCGGGAGGAGGGCAGACGAGTTTCTCTGGTGGTGCCCAGAGTGGCCACCAGGGCAAGCTGGGGAGGGCTAGCCTCCCACTAGTTCGAATTAAGGGGCTACACACCCCTTAATTCGAACTAGCTAATTCGAACTAGGCTTAGTCCTCATAAAATGAGGTTTCCCTAGTTCAAATTAAGCGCTCCGCTAGTTCGAATTAAGTTCGAACTAGCAGTTTGCATGTGTAGCGCCTATCAAAGTTAATTCGAACTAACGTCTGTTAGTTCGAATTAACTTTGTAGTGTAGACATACCCTAAGTCCTAATCTGATGCCCTGCCGGCACTGGTTCTGGCCAGCCTTAACCTCGGTTCAGGGTCCACTCGGTGTGGACATGCTAGTTCGAATTAGCAAAACGCTAATTCGAACTAGTTTTTAGGTCTAGATGCACTGGTTCGAATTAGTGCTGTAGTGTAGACATACCCTGAAAGCCTCACGCTGTGAGAGGGCACAGGCCAGCGAGAGGGCTACACAGGGCCCGGTTCCAGGCTGCACCTGGGGAAAGTCCAACACGCCCGGCATATGTCCTCCCAGCGGGGGGTGTATGGTGGAGAACCCAACTGGTGCTCTAAGGAGGCCTGCAGGTGCTCTGAGTCCATCTCCCTCCTCCCATGGGCTCAGTTAGTGTCAGGGCATCTGGCCTCTGTCCAGCCTTGCCCAAGTCACATTGCCTCATGCCTCAGTTTACCACTGTGGTCACAGTGATGTCTTCATAGGGACTGTCCTTTGCTTTCTGTCACAGAGAGTATGACGGTTACTGATGAGAATTACTGAGCTCTGGCCTGTCGGTGACAGTCCCTTGTGCCTGCAGAAAGTGATCACAGGGCACCCGGACCTGGGGAGACCTAGGAATGGTCCCTAGTTTCCTTCCTAATCGACTATGATTGTTAAATACACAGAGCAGCCGATTTCTCCCTGACTCAGCCCAAAGCCCAGGAGTTCTCCTCCCTTTGGGAAGGGCCCTTAATGGCTGTTTACACCGAAAGCTGGATAACGAGCACAGAAGCCCAGACGGGCTTTTCTCCAGCATATTCATCCAGATCCCTCTTCTCCCCCAGAGGCTGAAGGATCCTCCCGGGACGGCCCAGAGCTGGGTTATAACCAGTGCCCAGCCCTGTGCCGGCTCTCGGCGCCGGACGCTGCTGCAGACGCTGGGCTGAGAGAGGTGCGGGACGCGGCTGCCTGAGGGGGGTTCCAGGGAAGACACGTCCCTCTCAGCACTCACAGGTACCAGCTCTGGCCAAGGGCTCCCCTGCCCCACAGCCCCAGGGCAGTGTGGGTGCGAGGGGCAGAGTTGGTCTTGGCCCTTTGCGGGCTTCAGAGCCACGAAACATCCCAGGGCCCTGCCCCCGCTGGGGACGAGTTTGCTCCTTTATCACTGGCCAAAACGTTGCTCTTTGCTGTGTCCGCAGGATGATAGCGCCAGGTCCAAGGGGGCTGCACGTCACTGGCACGGGGGACCCATCGGGATAAAAGCTCTTAGTGGATGTACAGTGTAAGGCCCAATGTTGCTGCCATGGCCCCTACTTTGAAAACTCCCCTGCAGTAAGGGCTGAGAAAAGCCCTTGGCAGGCAGCAGGGTGTGAATGCCCAGACCCCGCCCCTTCCCATCCCCTGCCTCCCAGGGCTCAGTGTTAGGGAGGCAGCGGAGATCTGACTTGTGTCTGCTCAGGGCAGGCAGGCGCGAGGACGCCTCGCTGGAGGAACCATGGCCACATTTCAAGGGCAGTGAGAGGCACTTCCCGGCTTCGTAGCTCGGCTGGCCGACCCGCCCTGCCCCAAACTCACAAACCCGATTCCAGCGGCCGAGCAGCTCCAGTGCGGGAAATCGCAGCACAAAGGCGAGTTGGGCCAAGGCGTCAGCTCCGGATGAGGAGCTCTGCCAAGGGAGCGTGTCAGACCCATCACGCACGGCCGGGCCCAGCCCCCGTGGCAACAGCCCCACTGATCCCACTGAGATCTGAGCGCCAACACCGCACAGAGCCCCAGGCCAAGCAGGGTTTGCGAGGATCCATTTCCTGGACCAGTGTCACATTGGAGACGTCCAATGGAATTGACTGTTCCCTTTCCCGCGAGTCGTGAGACCCAGGCAATGCAAACCCGGCTCTGCCTCCTGTGTCTACACTGGGCCACTTATTCTGGAAAAGCAGCTGCTTTTCTGGAATAAGCTGCGAGCTGTCTACACTGGCCCCTTGAATTTCTGGAAAAGCAGTGACGATTTACTGTAAGAAATCAGCTGCTTTTCCGGAAAAACTATGCTGCTCCCGCTCGGGCAAAAGTCCTTTTTCCGGAAAACTGTTCCAGAAAAGGGCCAGTGTAGGCAGCACAGTAGTCTTTTCCGCAAAAAAGCCCCGATCGCGAAAATGACGATGGGGGCTTTTTTCCGGAAAAGCATGTCTACATTGGCCATGGACGCTTTCCAGAAAAGCATCCTGCCAATGTAGACGCTCTTTTTCCGGAAATACTTATAACGGAAAACTGTTCTGTTTTAAGCATTTCCGGAAAAAGGTGCCAGTGTAGACGTAGCCGTAGGGTTTAAGAGTCTCCGCCTGTTCTTACAGTTTCACCTTCTAAGTCTGTGCTGCTGCCGTGTGAAGCCCAGCCCCTTGTCCTGCACGCTGGGGCAGGAGAGAACTTCCCCGTCTTTCTAGTGACAGAACGACTTTTCTCCTACTTCCATGGCAGCTTTTCATAGAGTTGCAGTCGGCTCCCATGTCCCCTCAACCTCCTCCCTCCCAAAGTAACCGAAACCTCCTGCCTCAGTTTGCTCAGAGTTCTTGGAACCCACCTGCCTGTGGATCCTTTCCAGTTTCTCTGCATCCTCCCTATAGAGCCGTGAGCCAAATTCAACTCAGACCCCCCCTGAGGTCTAGCCCACGCTGAGTAGAGCATATGATGACTCCCCCCAAATGCTCTCTGAAATTGACTCCCGAATGCCAACATGCATCACTTGAAGATACTTTGGACAAAACCCCTCATGTAACCTGTCAATTTTCCTGTCTCAGTCGGCTGGATCTGCACAGATTATGGTGGTAAATGTGACTCTCCTCTGTGTACAGTTAGAGAGATGCAGGGTAGAACAGTGTATGGTTTCAAATATGTCCCTCGACGTCTGTAAACAGCCTCTTTTGTCCTTTAAGTCTTAACAGTGGTTGGTCTTAGGAAGTCATGTGAAACTGGTAGGGTCTGACCAGTAAGGGTATGTCTACACGACCCTCCTAATTCGAAGTAGGAGGGTAATGTAGGCATACCGCACTTGAAAATGAAGCCCGGAATTTGAATTTCCCGGGCTTCATTTGCATGAAGCTGGCCGGCGCCATTTTAAAATCCCGGCTAGTTTGAACCCCGTGCCGCGCGGCTACACGTGTCATGGAGTAGCTAGTTCGGATTAGGTTTCCTAATCGTGGAATGAGGAGTACAGCTAGTTCGGATTAGGAAACCTAATCCGAACTAGCTACTCCGTGCCACGTGTAGCCGCGCGGCACGGGGGTCGAACAAGCCGGCATTTAAAAATGGCGCCGGCCAGCCTATGCCAAAGAAGCCCGGGGAAATCAAATAC